TTACACTGCAAACTCAAATGTGTTATTTTAGCTGAAACTCTGCTTATGCATTTCATGCAGTTTAAATTCACGTCGCTTAACACGATTGATATTAACTTTTAATTTCATATAATTAAATAACGTAATTTAACACATAAAGAAGCATGTAAAAAAAGCGTCAATCAAATGTGTCATTTTTAGACGTTTTTGCGTGTAAAAATAACACACTTGGATTTGCAATATCTTTTGTTTATATTATTACGCTTTAAATAATATCTCTATTATTTCAAAATAGAATGTTCATGCGTGACATTTATCTCACCGTTCCTAATTTGCGGAATTGTTCTTATGTCGGTTATTCGCTAGCTCGGAACATCTCACAGAGCTGGGGAGAAAATTTAGTTACATGTTGCAATTATGAGCATTTGTGGTTAAATAAGAGTTTCAGAATTTTTATCTCCAGAAAAATTAAACGCAGAGTTTTGTATCATGAAGAGATAAAAGCTTTTCTTCAAAGGGAAAGATTAAAGAACCTGAATGGTTTGGTAAGACATTAACTTTGATTAGGTAAAAGAAATGGAGCAATAAATAATCAATTATCAATTAATAATATTTTACATTGTATGCATCATAAACACATATCCAATTCCTCAATTCTTACTGGATTATTTTCTGAAATTGTATTGTGTAAATTGTATTATAGGTCCAAGAACCCAAAAATGTCGGCTGGCTAAAATGCTTATTACCCAATTTGGAAGATTTGCCACCTCACACAGTCACTAAATATGTGCCTTACGAGAGGAGACATTTTTTCTTATGTCATCTAAAGAATATTTTAGGAGAACTGACAGGCATTTCTTAAATTTTATTTTAATGATTTTGCATTATAGAATTATTAATACTATACTGTTCTTAAAAAATACTTGTATTAACAATTTCCTAACAATAAGGAAGTATCGTCCTTTTTATACATACAATTACAAACAACAGTTTTATCTGTATTTATATGTTTAACATTAAAAATAATAACTTCTTTGTTGATTTCCGATGTTAGATGGTGTTGATTGGCAGTTGTGGTTTAATGACACTTTTTCTACATCTATCGTGCCGGATTTATCGCAAATATCCTTGTGGGAAATAAAGTATTCTATATTAGTTCAAAAATGGATTAATTGGGATAATCGTGTTCTCTCTCTCCTAATGTACCTTCTCCTGTGACAACAGGCGATAGGAAACGCTGTAATGTTGAGAAAATAATATTATTAAACAACCTACATTCTTTTCATAGGAGTCTGTCCATATAGAAACACTGTATTGTATTTACTATTGTTTCTTCCAGAATATAAAAAACGGAAAAATACAGTAAATATGCATATCCCCATTTAAATTGATTTGCAATTGCTTAATGTTAAGTGCATCAAGTACTTTACAGGTTTCTTTGGCTGCTATTATGCATTAAATTTTGATAGGCTGACAAAGTTGCACTAGCTTTAAACTTTGCTATTGAACACTGTTCGCCAAATTATGCATGTCCTATATTTCGACATTTGTACGAATAAGAAGAAATGCGTAAAGATGCGTAAAACATATAATCGTAATAAAGAAAAGATGTTGGATAAATCCCAGGAAAAAATAGGTTAAGTTCTACACCAAAACTTGTAATTATTTTTGCAACAATTAGCCTGATTTTATTTTTAATGGGTAACTCATTACTAACTGTAATGTAAAATTATTTTTTTATTATAAAGAAAACTCTTAAAAGATGTAAAAATGATTATGAAATAAATTTGGCGAAGGCAAATTTCTCACGCGTGTGTTGTAAGACAATTTCAATAAAGTTTAAAAAGTTGTTTATTTCATTTTATTTATTAGCCGAGTATTATAGAGACTCATTCTGTATTTCCATAAGAACTGTACGCAATTTCCCCACTGTCATTTAATAGATCGATAAATAAGCAGAAAAATTATAGAAGGTTTTGGCAAATATTTTTATAGAGCTTATACTTAATTGATTTTATCATTATACATATATTATATATAAAAAATAAATTTACTTTAGAAATTTTTACGATACACAAAACAAATGTATAAATATAAAAATAAATAAATAAACAGTAAATGTAAATATAAATATTAAATTTTATGCTATTATGAATAGGCAAAAGCAGAGAATGCGAAATTGTTTCCTAATTATCTGCAAGTAGATATATATTATAATAAGTTGTGTTTGTGGAAAAAATAATTAATTATATATTATTTACTATTAAAACTTATAAATTAAGCGCATTTATAATCATGTGTTTTGTTTGTCTGCCACAATGTGATTTGTGTGTAAAATATGCACAACTTGTAAGTTTAACCAAATACAACGATTATCTCAACGAGATGAGTTATTCGTCAACATGCACAATACTCGGACTAAGAAAGTCCGAAAGATTAAAATTCCTTACACAAATTAGTAGGCGAGAGATTGGATGAGAGTGGGTAATCGATAGCCATGACGGAATTTGTACCGCTTTAGCGATCATATATTTCACAGATCGAATCATCATAATAGAGAGAGTGAGTCATGGTATTTTAATATATCTCTATATGCAGTGTAAATCGATATATTTTATTTATTTTTTTTTTAAATTTAATTATTTTTTTAAATTATACTTTACTGTATTAAAATATACATCTCGAATAAATTGGAACTAGCAACATTTTTGAGATATTTCTCGAAGAATAACTATTTTGAAACATAGAAATTACAAATTATTTTTTTACAAGTAGAAATAAGAGATAAACAATTTGATGGTTCAATTAAATAATAATGTAAAATAATAACTATTTTTGATTGAGCGTAATGATATTTTTAACATGATCTTTTGTTCTTATTAAAAGACATCATAAAAGAAATGATAAAACGGTATCTTTTTTTGATGACTTTTTCTAATAAGCTCAAGAGATGTTTTTCACACATCTGTCTGCTTTACCAAAAAAATAACTTAAGAAAAACATCTTTTTCGTTATCTTTTAGGCTGTGTTCGTCTTGACGCTTTCAGCGCTGGAAGCATCGCTCTATCCTTGTTTGATATTCGATGTGCAACGAAGATAAGATGATGCTTACAGCGCTGAAAGCGTCAAGACGAACTCATAATAGGGCCGATTTCACAGTCTCCGATTAACTTGATCCTCTGATTGAACTCACTCTTCGTCTCTTTCTAGGGGGACAGTTAGAAAGAGATACAGAGTGAGTTTAATCGGAGGATCACATTAATCGGAGACTGTGAAATCGGCTATCCTTTTTTAGTGTTATGTGTTGTCTGGATAGTTTTTCTAGTAGAAAACGCTACACGTACCTATCTGCGCTTGCGTCCTTTCATACCTCCACCCTCTAGCTAGTCTTTCCTTTGCTTTCCAGTAATTTACCTGAATTCCTAAGTTTCGAGTTTCGATTTAATACTTTTCAGGACCATGTATTTTGTGTGAGTTGGCAGTCTAGTATATAATATAGATGTGGACCTGCACAGAAGGAGTATTCATTCACTAAACCGCATGTCCCAACAATTGTTCTCTTTCATGGTTTTTTTCATTTTACACAGAGAAGATCAAGTCTGCTTTGTTGATAAACGCAGTAAGTAGTACCTATAACAATCGATAGAAATTAGTTTTTCTGATTAATTTTTTGATTCAGTTCCGAGTTAAATTTCCGGTAATTCTCTTTATTCACTGTGTAATCCTTTGTTCGACTTCTCGTTAGATCGCTGTCCTAATCTGTATCAAAAAATGAGATAAAAGATACATTAAGTAGATTAAAAAATACATTTTGAAAGATTTTAGTCACTTCCCACACAGCAAGCATATTAAAAAGACGTTCAGAATATATTCCGAAGATATCCTATCGCCTAAATATATCTTCGGGATATCTTCTGGACGTCTTTTTAATATGCATGCTGTGTGGGTTAGGCTACGGTCAACGTGACGCTACAAATGCTTTGGACCGTTCTTCTTCTCCTTCTTTCTTCATTGAAAGAAAAGAGAAGAGGAATGCTTTGAAGCATTTGTAGCATCACGTTAACCGTAGCCTTAGTAGCGTAAGTGTAGCGAACGTAAGCAATTTAAATTTTGCAATTTTTTTCTTTAGTGTTCGTGCACGCGTGTATGCCGTATGTTTTTCACTCACGTGGTAAAACACTCTACCACGTGGTGGAACACACTACAACGCTATCCTACAATAACCGTAAGAGTATGTGATAAGACGTAAGCAGTAAAAATTGATCAACTATAACATTGTAAAAATCTTATTAGTCAATATATAGCTTACTGCTTACGTCTTACATTTACTCTTACGATGACTATTGTAGAATAAAACTTTATTGTCATTTAAAAATTAAGCGCCGTAAGTGAAGAAAATGTGGACAATCTGAATTTTGTAATATTTTTGGTTTTTCTTTTGTGCTCGTGCACGTGTGTCACGTGCTGGCAGAAGAGCACAGAGCTCGCGATATTTCAAATTTATAAAAAAAACATTTTTCTATATTAAAAAGATTTTTTTAAACTGTTATTTTGTTTAAAATAATTAATTATTTAATAATATATGTACATGCAGACTACATAGTAATGTCAGTACTATAAGCAATGTGAATGTAAGCAGGATAAACTTACAATTACATTATATAATCTTACCGCTATAATTATATATACATATAATATTACAATACATTGCATATACTACAGCATATACTACAAAAGCAAGGATTATTATTCTCCATATTTTTTTGTCGTTTTTTAAGGAGAAGTATGACATCCCACAATCAATCTTTATATTGCGAGAGTTGCAGTAGGTACCCCTATGTCGACAGAGTATCCGTAGGAGTAGAGGATAGTGTTGATTTCATCTATCAATATGGAAAGAAAAAATTTGTTTCCAAAAAACACGCCAGTTATAGCATATTTTATACTGCCCCTGACATAATTGGGCCACCCAAATTTCAAAACTATGAAGAACTATTTTATTTACCTTTTTTTAAAAAAAAATGGTTGGTATGTGTATTTCCTGATATTACATGTTATATTGTTCCGTAAAAAGTAATCGCAATTTAAACTTACAAGTGTTCGTAGTATTTGACATCTTTTGACTTTTTATTACAGGGATCGAATAATGATATTTCAATATCTCCATGGCAAAACGAAGAATTTGCTGAAAAACGATTTTATATATATGAGTTATCGAAGGGGGCGCCGAACAAAAATAATTATATTAGTATGTAATATTTAAATTAGCAAATAAGATATTGTTAAAGAAGCTTTTGTTGAGAAGAGAGTATAATTATATTTTCTATTTTGAAGATATCGAGTTTCATGAAGCTGTATATCCAATTAGAGTATCTATTTATGAAATACATAATCCTGGAAGCGTAATTCAAATTTGGGCTCAAGATTATTCTAATAATCGGTGGTTCAAGTTGTGGGATGAATGGTCTCAGATTGTACCGCCGACATCAAGATTATTTTCTCCACCGCTGTTGCATCCGTGTAACTTTAAAACCAAAATGCTCAAACTAGTATTTAAGGACAGTTTACCGTTCTCTTACACAATGCTAGATGCCGTGATGCTCATCGGTACATCAGAATTGATCTTTTCGAATCTTAACGAGAGCTTAACTAATATGTTAAAAAGAATTAACTGTACGTACTCTTTATGCCATGACGATGTTCATAATTTAACAGCAGATGTAAAAAGTGCACACTTGGATATAGTTTATCTGCAAGAAAATTTTCCTAAATATTGTATTATTTGGAGAAGGTATTATTATCGTCGACTTTAGATAATATTTAAATTCTTTTTTTTTTTAATGAAAATTAATTTGTTTCGATAACATTTGCAGCGATACTTGTAAGAGTGTATTAAAGCATAAAAAGGCATCTCAGGAGATAATACCTTATGTGCAACTTAATGGAGAGAAGAACTCGCGTCATATTTTATTAAAAAGTGATTCAAATTGGACAAAGCAAATGAAACTCTCTTCAGATAAATCCAAGGAGCTTTGCAGTTTGTCTACCCTTCCTGTAAAGTATTCCAAGAAGTCTATTTCTCATAATAATATTCATTGTAATGTCATCTCGAATATTAAAGTTTTATATTTTATTTTTGCAGGATGAAATACTACTAAAGATATTTAAAAATTTGGATTTGATGACGTTATGCCGCGTGAGTGAAGTAAATCGGTACTTCAATAATTTAATACGGGATCCTGAACTTTATACACGTTTGAATATGCGAAGTGGATTCCTGCAACGTCCCGTACGTCCTTGTAGATACATGTGCGATATGTTTTGTTATTTTACACCTAGATGTAAATATTTGCGACAGTTAGATCTTACAGACAGCAACTTTGATGTTAAGGATTTAAGTAAGTTTCTTGATAATTGCGGCATGCGTTTAACGCACTTAAGACTCAAGAACTGCTTTGTTGACAATCAAGCCTTACTTAAAATTTCAGAGATATGCAAAAATTTGAAAGGTATGTATATAGTATGTATACGTATAATGTATATGATTGTCAAGATTATGGGTAAATTGCATATATCTAATACAAATTTTTTCTAGAGTTGGATTTAAGTTATTGTAATCCATACATAGACGACGAAGGATTTTCGTACCTCGAGAAGCTGAAAAGTTTGGAACGCTTAAACCTTTCTTGTACAAGAATAACAACTAAACGTCTTTGCAAAATACTGCAAAATAATCAACGGATGCGTGAGTTACAATTCGGACGCTTTATAAATGATGCAATTCTAATAGAATTGCGAAATTCATGTCGTGATTTAGAAGTAATTTTACTGAACACATATGACTTTGGGCACATAAGTTCTAAGGGTATTAATGCCCTCACTAACTGTAAGAATTTACGAAAAGTGGATCTTTTTCTGTAAGTGTGTATGCTACATTTTCTTTTAAAATACATATTATTGTATTTTTTATTGAAATTTGTTTGCTTTTCTTGCGAGCATCTTGAAAAAAGTTACATGATTTTTCTCTTTGCAATTAAAGTACTGTACTAATTATATCATTTTTGTTACAGAGACTACACAAACCCAACTACTGAGAGCTTATTTAGACTTCTTTCTTCTTGTCAAAACTTGCAAGAGGTTTATTTGTCAAGAGGTTCTATGGATCAAAATTGGATGTCTCAATTTTCTCTCACTGGTCACAATTTAGAATTGCTAGCGCAGTGCAAAAACTTGGAAAAGTTGTATCTTAACCATGTGAAACTTGATATAGGTAATGATAAATATTCCATTATCTTGAAGCAATGTCCTAAACTGCAAAAGTTTTATCTCATACGCTGTAAAATAACCGATCGGTTGGTTATTCAATGGAAGGAAAGATATCCGCATGTGTCCGTCTATACATTCCGCTAATAATTTGAATGGTTTTTGTTTATTAGTTCAGGACAAATCAATTTACTTTTTATTTGTGTTTACTTTTTATATTTTTATACTTACAAATTTACTTTGTAAAAAATATCTGGTGAATTAAGTTGTAAGAAGTTAATGTTTAATAAAAACAAAATATTTATATTTATTTATAATTTTGTTATTTTTGATCAGTTTTATCTTCCTTTTCTTTTTCATATGTAATTTGACTTTCTTCGAGCGATTGTGTCATTTTTTTTGTTTTAAATAATTGTTCAGCGAAATACTGCAAAAGCTACATTAGTAACATCGTTAGTAAATTTTTGATATTTTTTTCCACAACCGTATCTCTTTCAAGAATTTATTTAGAAATATATTTCTTGTGAAACTTTTTCTAACCACAGTTATTAAAATAAAAACAGTTTTTAAAACAGCTTTTTGTGAAGTTTGTTGTAAAAATTTATTTTTATACTGTTCTGAAATTAAACTCATAAAAGCTAGTATGAATATTGGCAGAATTTGTCTGCTATTTTTTGGTAAAAATTACACTATAATTTTTGTACATTTAATTTTTAAATACTCAACCTTGCTTGCGCTCGTTGCAGAGCATATAGTGCGATTATATAATTTATCTGTATTTTCGAAAATTGGTTTTACCGTTATTTGTCCCCCTTGATATCCTACAACTTTTGTCTAAAATATAATGTTTTTTCATACGTTCCATATTTTTTTAGATATTTGTCTGAGGCATATAAAATGCCACACTCTGTATATTGATTATATTTAACATTATATAGGGGAGACCGGGGCTAAGCCGACAGCGGGGCGAACTTGATGACACTAGGCTTTTTGCCAATTTAAATCTATCGTAGAAACTTGCCTTTGTTACTGTAAATGCGTCTTTATGTGCCAGTATTATCAACGGAATTTGGTAACATTCTGAGTTATAGTGTAATTTTTAACGCGACGTAAGTGTTTTTGATAGTGAAAAGTAATTTTTCTGATCTCTCGAAAATATCTACTCTTTCATCGAGCTAAGGGTCGATTCAGACACAGCCGTGCCGTATCCGTACCGTGCACGAAACAGAAACATCAGACAAGGATGGAGACAACATTAGACAAGAATGGAGACAATAGGTATCCTTGTCTGATGTTCTGTTTCGTGCACGGTACGGATACGTCACGGCTGTGTCTGAATCGACCCTATTACTCTTGCGAATCTACCGGTAAGTGATTTTGATGGAAAATTCGATGCTTTATACTAATCCGATAATAATTTTTGCATATTTTTAAAATTTATATATTTTTGGAGTAACAAAAGTAAAAAACGACGTTCGGGGCTAAGTCGACACGACGCCACCGGGGCAAAGACGACACTAACCTAAAGTGACATTATCGCAAAAAAGGTCATTGTTTCATCCGATTCCGATGACGATTTAAGGAGCATCTGTTGCGTCTGTTCTGAAAACATTTCATTAGCTTCTAATAACAAACAATGCATCTTATGCAACCGTATGGCTCATGACGAATGTGTGCGCACATCTGATCGCGAGTTTACGTGTATAAATTGTTTTTCAGACAGTTCAGAAAAAGATAATTAAAAGTTTAATCTTTTTTTTTCTCATTATTTTAAATAATTGTTTACTTTATTTCGACTTTTTGTTCCTAATGCACAATGTCTTTTTATTTTATAAACAATGTATTTTTATTTTTAAACAATAAAAAAAAAGTTCCAGATCAAATTGTGTCGATCAAACAAAGTGTTGAGTTTGCCCGGCGGGGTGTCAAGTTCGCCCCGTCATTTTTCAATTCGAAAATTTGTCTTCGCGTCACTTTTCCTTTTCTGGCGGCAAAACAAAGCGACGTACAGCAAAACTTCCTGAATCAATTTTGTACCTGAAGAAACACTCTTTAAATATATATCATTGAATTTGCCTAAAAATTTTAATTAAATATTAAAAATTGCCTTTGAAAAAATAGTGTCGGCTTAGCCCCAGTCTCCTCTATGCCATTTATACTTTTTTTTTACAAGAGATTTACGAAGAAGACGAGCTACTTGAAGACAAAGCATGGCGCAGTGCCTCAGGAATTAAAAATATATAAAAAATAGAATTTATTGTATTTTCATAAAATAAAAAATATGTACTTGTAGAATAAAATAAAGAATAAAATAGGATTATTTTAAAAATTAAAAGAAATATACGTCTCAGTGTAAAAATAACTGTAAAATACATAACTGTTATGATTAATGATATAGCCATCAATTAAGTCTACGAGTCACTTGCACTTACTATAGAAAAATCTGAATATGGGTTTTTACATTGCGGGTTCATTATAACGCATTAATCATTTCGTGTAATTATAAACTAGGCTTTATCATGTTTTATTTCTGGAATAAGAGCCTAGTCAATGGGTTGCGTAAGCCATAAGGAAGGAATTAAGTTCTGTCTGAGATGAGTATATCGAGCAATTACGTTGGCAAATACGTCATTCTTACGTATAACGAGTAATAATGAATGACTTGGCAATACGAAAACTTGGATTTCTCGTAAAAATTCTAATTGAATGCAAAGTAGTAGACCTTCCTCAGAACTTGGAACAATTTAAGATTCGATCGAGAATAGCGCGAAAAATATTATATGTCCGTAAATTATATACATCTAAAAAAATCTTCAAAAGATTAGAACCTCTTTCTTTATGGTTTAGGTACCTATCTGTAAAATCTCGAATTCTCTCTATGTTTGAGATAGCGATAATATAGAAGAAATAAAGTAGACTAATTCAAAACTCGAAAAATTATTTGAAAAATCTACGCGGTATCTGAAGAGACATTTGAAGAATGTTTTAAAAAAATTAAAACGTCTTTTAACCGTCTATTACGTTTACAAATGACTAAAATTTCTAATTCAACAAATTCTTTATCTATAATATTCAACATCTAACATCGATGTGTTTTATTGTAAGTGTTCGGCGACATGATTTAAAAGCGATTTGAAAGACAAATGCTTATCTGTTGCAAACGCGTAATGTAATAAATGTACAGGATAATATGCAGAAAACCATTCACGTTCTCAATGATGTCAGTAATAAGGGAACTCCCGACGAAGAAAAGAAGGTATCTTCGGCTTGGTGTTCCCACCAGTTCCCATATGCATTTTATATACTTTTAGTAAAAATTTGGTCCATTGATTTCCGAGATCATAGCGAACAAAAAAAAGGCTAATTCAAAAAACTTCTGATACCGGTTTCCAAAAGAATTAGTAACAAAAAATTATACATTTTATGGCACTCCCCGGGAAATTCTACCCCTGTTTTATATACAATTCTTTAAAATTCGCTCAATTATTTCTCGAAAAATTAGAAAAATTAAAAAAACCGGTTTCCAGAAAATCGGTAACAAAAAACTATATATTCTATAACACTCCCCGGGAAATTCTACCCCTATTTCATATACTTTTAGTAAAAATTCGGTCAAATGATTTTCGAGATTATAGCGAACAAAAAAAGGCTACAAACTCTGTTGCTTTATAATCTAGATCAGCATAAATCTTTAAACTTTAATTTTCTCACAATAGACTACGTATTACTTCAACTAAAATGTTAGATCTTGAGAAAGAGATCGAATCCTAGATATACGTAAATAAATTCAATAAAGTATCTCAATTGTTATATTCTATTTGTGGCGGCTGATGTCTGCGCTAGAATTGAATAAATTATGATATGAGAGTAGATAGAAAAATAACTTTCTTCTCAACCATAAAATTACGTTTAACATATTTAAAGAAATACATATAGAAAGTAAATCATAGACTTGATTTGAAACATCGCTAAAAAGTAATATATTCGTGTACATGAAACAACATGTAGGCATCATAGAAATTACATATTAA